GTTATAGCTCACGAAAGAATTTTTTATTAATTAATGCACATTATATTTACTTCATTGTATGAAACATTTTTATTTTCTTTTGACAGATCTAAAAATTGTGTAGGATTCGTTGTATTAAAAGAAAAAGGGACCAGAGGAAAGCAGGCAATCTTTTGTACGCCTTGTAAAAAATCATGGAATATATTACGTGGTAGAAAAAACATGAAGCATAAGAGTAAAGTTTTGAAAATGAGAAACGATGAATTAAATAAGAATATCAAAAAAATTGGCGATCTAATAATCGTTTGCAGAAAAAGGTAAAAATTTATAACAATGTTCATCATTTAATAAAAAAAAAATTAATAATTATTTTTATTAATTTAAAAAATATTAAATTTTAGGCTAAAAAAATGAAGGATGTATTACGAGAATTGCAGGAAAAATGTGCAGAAACAAGGGAGGAACATCTTTTCGAAGCAATTAATAATTTATCCTGCAGTAAAAAATTAGCTGTGCAAGCCTGCTTCAATTCGTCCAAGATTAAAGGACCACAAGGTGCAAGATACAATCGGCACTGGGTGTACGATTGTATTTTGTTGAGAATTAAGAGTAAGAAAGCTTACAAACATTTAAGAAGCCACAAAATTCTCTCCTTGCCGTCATTTCAAACTTTAGACCGATACATGAGAAGAATAAAAAGTTCTTATGGCTTTAATGAAAATGTTTTTGAAGCTCTGCAATTAAAAACTGAAGCAATGAATGCTACAGATGCCCATGGTGAGTATATGTGGCATTGCTGTTTACTAAATTTTTTATTACATTATTGCAAATAAAGCGAAGAAATCAATGCATTAAATTAAACATAATTTTTGTGGTTTAATATTTAAATGTGCTTTCATAGGTGCCATTCTAATAGATGAGGTAAAATTGTCGGTAGCACTAGCGTATAATCCTGTAAATATGCAATTTGAAGGTTTCACAAATTTAGGAGATTATACTCCTGAACATAAAAAATCTCAACTTGCGGATCATGCACTAGTCTTTATGTTCCAGTCATTTATGACTGGACAAGTCCAAACGTTGGGATGTTTTTTAAGTAAAGGATGTGCGTCTGGAACTGTGCTGCATAAATTATTAATTGAATGCATCGGGTTAGCAGAAAATACAGGTTTAAAAATTCATCTAATAACTTCGGATGGCGCCACGTGGAACCGAAAAATGTGGGATTTATTTGGTGTAAACGAAGAAAACGTTAGCGTACAACACATTTATGACGAAAATCGATGGCTATGGTTTATTTCAGATTTTCCACATCTAATAAAATGTCTGCGAAACTTCCTTATACAGCTGGGAATTCGAGAAGGACTTTGGGTGAAATTTTATAATATTTATAGGGTTGTCATAAGTCTCGAAATTAGGGAATTCAAAAGTACCTGAAAATCTTGGAAAATTCTTAGAATACGATAAAAAATATTGGAATTTTCCCTATTTTTTATTGGTTACATTTTTTATATAAAAAGATAAGAACTCAAAACATTCATTACCTGTAAATTAAATCTGTAATAATTTTTAATCTCGTAAGTCAGGAAAAAATTCCTTTTTACCTGAATAACTAGGGAAAATCTGAGAATTTCGGAATAGAAATATTGTGGCAACCCTCATTATTTAATCTATTAAGAAAGTGAGTATTTACTTTTAAAAATTGTCTAAACTTATTTGTAAATTATTTGTTCTTGTGCTTTTGACTCCAGATGGAATAATATCATTGCTGATATGGTATTCCTTACTGAAAGTGGAAGACACAACGTCATATAACATAAAATGTAACTACAAGTTCAAAATAGATCATCTTGAACAGAAATATTTTCAAAAAATGAACGTCGTAATGGCTTTTCAGGTAATTTAATAGAACTTATTTTCTACTTACGATATTGTCCTTTTATTAAAGCAAATTAATTTTTTTTAATGTACATTATAGTTTTTTGGAATCTCCGAGTTATTAGAACTATACAAAGACCGTCACGAAGAACTTGAAGAATGCGAAGAAGTTAAAAACTTTTGCCAAAGAATTAAAAATCTTATTACTGCTATGAATAGCCGAACACCATTAACATCTATGGCTCCTGGAAACGAAGCCTTTATGGTACAATAACATGTTAATAACAAATAGGTTTAGTAATTATTTTAATCTGAAAATTCTATTAAGTGTAATAAATTTCCATACAGGTAGTGGAAAGTTTTTTAACTTAATTGAAAAAATGGAAAAAGGAGTCTGATTTGAAAAATTATAAATTTATTCCGGAGCCAACTTATTATGGTTTGATAATTTCTTTGCAAGCTACATTAGAGGTCTGCAATTATTTAGTGAAGAATTGCGATTTTAAATACTTGCTAACGGCTCGACTTAATCAAGACGCTTTAGAAGTATATTTCCATTTATACCTTTACAATTTTGTAAATTTTTTTTACAAAAAATTAATATTTAATTATTAATCGTTACAGCGATTTTTTGGTATGATGAGGGAAAGCTGTGGTGCAAATGATCATCCCGATGCAAATTTGTTTCTACAGATGTATCGATTAATCTCCACCTACTCAATTTCTCGACCACCGAAGGGATCAAACATCAACAGTTCGGAAATTTTAGATGTGTTGCTTAGCATTGACACTATAGAAAATAAAAACGAAAAAAAGAACAGTGGGAAAATCAATTGGACACAATTTTGGACAAGGGAAATGAACATATTCTTTCTAACAATGAAGATGTTAACAAAGAACACGATTATCCTTGGTCACAGCCATCAACATATGCGATATCTTACATGGCTGGACATGTTGCCAGAAAAGCAATGATGCGTTTTTTTAAATATGTTACAGGAAAAAGTCAAGCATCATGTGAAGAGTGTGCAATGGGGTTCCACACAGCCAAACTTGACCAGTAGAGTGCAGCACCACTATAAGATTTTATGGCGCAAAATTCTAAATGTGATTTGTTGCATAATATTAATTAAACAATATTTTTGTTCATGTAAATGAAGAATAAAATCATTAGATCAGAAATATTGGTTATAATAAAATGCGAAAAACTATTTAAAGATGTTAAGAGATTCAAAATTAAAATGTGTTTACAATATTTTTAATGACAGGCAACATAACCTCAATTTTTTTATCTATACTTTTACGATACTGTGACTTGCAAAACCGTCTTTTTTCCTGTGATACAAATTCCTCGCTCAAGTACCCTTATGAAAAAAAAGTACTGGATGAAGTATTAATACAAGTACTGAAAGAAGTATTGGCCGAAGTATTAGATCAAGTACTGGAATAAGTATTGAAAGAAGTATATAATTAAGTACTGAAAACCCAGTACTAAATTCGCCTTTAGAAGGAATAAAAAAAATTAATATTAACAATTTAACAAGTAATATATATATATATATATATATATATATATACTTTTGTGAATTTTATTAATGAACCAATAAACAAACAATTAAAAAATTGTAATATTTTTACATTTATTCAATTTTTAACAAAAAAGTAAAAACATTATGTACACAATTAGGAAATCTGATATTAAAATAATTTTTTTAACAAAATAAATTAACACTTAACTCATCATTTTTCAAAGCTAGTGACGTATTTTCTGTACATAGATTGTTGTTTTGAAAGTTTATGCAAACTTTTAAAATGTTCAAACGTTGATTTTAAATTAAAAAATATATTTTTGGTAAAATTTTTTACTGACGGCTTGTAAAAGGTAATGCAAAGTTACAGTGAACTTTTTGAAAAATTGAGAAATAAAAATTATGTTTAAGATAATTCTGGTTCTCTACGTATATACCTTTTATAAACTGAAAGTCATATTACAATTTAGTAAGTTATTTTTCTATTAATTTACTTTTAAAACTTTACCACGATCTATTAATTTGAAAATATAGAAAGGTTGCTTTTTTTGTCTTTGCTTTAAGAGTAAACAATGAATTTGCAAAATTTATTATTTCACTCAGTCTGTCTCAATGTGGTTTACTAAAGGTTCAATATAAACTTCAGTTTCATTATAACGAACGTTACCACATTTAGTCTTAATTAAAAGAAGGGGACATGAAATAATGTTGTTGGTTTCTTTTGCGATACATGAAAAATAATTAGAAGAAACGTTGCCAACCTTACATAAAATTTTGTCTTGTTTTTCTAATTCCTTGCCGAGCAAAACATGTTTGTATTCATCGCTTGCAGTAAGTTTTACAATTATCAAATCAGAAATACTCATGAAACGACCGTATGTCGTTTCAATTGTACAATTGTTTCTCTTCATTATTCTACTATTGTTAGATGTATGATAAAGTACATTTTTATAAATAAAGCGTGTAAATGATTGAGCTTTAGGATCAATTTTTTCAGCAAGAGCTTCTTCTATTACGAACTTTTCTGTTAGAGTTAAATTTACACATTTTGGAGATCCAAATATTCTTAAATAATCGCCATAATAAATACATTTCTTAATTGTACACTCCTTCATCAATGTGCGAAATAATTTTTTCCCCCTTTTACTACAATTTTCTTTAGAAAATATTTCTGAAGCAGAATGTATAAAGCTTAATCTCGAGTAAAACTTACATATTTGTTCAGGGATGAATTGAGTTCCATGAAACAACTTTTTTAACACACCATTGAAGTGCTCAAATGGGAATGTCGACCAAGCCCAAAGAGCACCAAAACTGAGTACGGCTTGAGGAATGTGTAAAAGAATATGCACATTGTATTTCATATATTCTCTACCGTAAAGAAGTTCAATATTGTACACAAATGTGCAAAGTGCTTTTCTAGCTTCAACGAATTCAGCTTCAGTGATCTTTGACTTGCAAAAAATGGTTATTGAATAGACAAAGAGAAACCAATGTTCAAAATATTTTGGAAGCATATTTCCATGAAAGCAAGGTAACGAGTAATACAAAAGGAAAGTTCTCAATTCCGAAGCTTTCCATTTATTAAGATTTTGCAAGAAACGTGGAGTTCTCGTAACCTCACTTGGGGGTTTCATGTCTAACAATTTCTGGTCAATAAGATTGCTTATTTTGATTGATTCATTTGCTTTTCCACTCAAAGACCATTTTTCTTTAGAGTTATTGGAACTAAAAAGCGAAGTAAGTAATAATTGGGTAACCCCTTCTAAAACTGAATGTAAATATTCAGGAGGAAATGATTTAATGATGTGAAATAAAGGTATAAGACTTACAACAGAATGTCCTTTGACACCATGAATAGGCTCATTTCCATTTGCTCTTTCGGCATCTCTATTGTGCTGTTGCAAGGTACGTAATTTTTTCATATGTCCGCAATAGACACGCGAAAATCCTCGTTCTACAGGTACTCTTTTTCCTCTGTGAAGACAATAAGGACAACCGAATTTCCCATTATATTGTTTCGTGTTTTATATTCCAGGACGTGCACCAGAATCTACGGGAGAAACTAGAGTGTGTACTTTAATTAATATGGGTTCATTGCTAAGAAACGTAGTTGATGTAAATCCATTATCATGTAAATGAATAAGTTCATTTACAAATGGTCGAAGAAACAAATTCATGGGTGGCTTTGTTTTACCAAACCACAAACCACATAGAAGCATATTGTTTTTTCTTAGCCGATAGGGTAATTCATTAACCGTCACTAAAATGGGCCATACGGACCGAATGGATGAGTTAGATACAGCTATTCCATCAGTATTCCACTGAATTGTTATATCATTCGCAGAGATTACATTTTTTTCAATTAAGCGTAGGTATTCTTTACTATTTACAATGTCACTTTCGTCACAGTTTTTTCTGTTTTTTTTTGCTTTACCTGATCTTCTAGTGGTAAATAAAAAAAGTAATTTTTGTTTTTCTTTAAATTTTTCTTATTATATTCTACTTTGCAAGTATTGCATTCTGCTCTGTTAATGTTTTCAAAATTAATTAAAACTAAACATTTCGGACAGAAATAATGAGCAATCACTTTTGGCTCAGGACATGGCTTTAAAAAACTATACTTGCTGCCATGTAAAACACTTGGAAGACGACAATCCACTAAATTTATGGAAGTTTGTAAGGCTACATCTGGTAAATTATGACGTAGGGCTTGGGCTAGAATAAGAAGATGAGATTCTTCTTTGCTGAGATCACAGTCATTATAGGTAGGATTTTTATCCTGCAAAAAAATAATATTTATTAATAAAAAATGTGCAACATTCTGGTTGATGCACTTTAGCTGACAAAAGTAATATTATTTGCTCTTGGATCAAGCAAAATTTTTTAAATATATTTGCTCATTTAACATCTAAAACCTGTAATTTTTTGTGGATCTTTTTTATTAAAGAATTTACTGTTAAAATCTGATATTTTCATATTAAATAACAAATTGCTATATATTTAGACAACATTGCCTAGTGATATTTTTATTATAATACAATTTTATAATTATTACCTATAATATTTATATATAAGCACACAGAATATTTAAAAATAACTTTTGCTTATCCAAGCGCATAATCAAACAGTTGTAGAAGTAAAATAAATTAAAGTGAAAATTTCTTTTTCTTTAACTAACCTCGTTATCTGTAGAGCCACTGTTTTTTGATGAATAGTCTAAGTAGTGAAAATCATTTTCGTCGTGACATACTTGAAATACTTTACTATCTTCGTCAGAATCACTACTGTCAATTTCTGTTTCTTCTTCGGATTCGTCCAATTCGCTTGTACTGCCGAGTTCATCACTTTCTTTAGACGTGTCTAGATAGGTTTCTGATTCTTCACTAGAACTTTCTTCATGCTGCGTATCTTGTCGATAAATACGATCTGTTTCAATAAGATTTTCTAATTCCATGGCTTCGACAAAGTCTCCACAATTGTCCTCTTCTATTTGTTCAACAATATTATCTGCTGCGTCATTTTCAATCGTTTCTTCCGCCTAATTTTAAATTTGACATTAGCGTAATTCGGATTACTTACTTAAGGTCCGTCCATGTTTGCGTAAAAGCATCGGCGAAAAGCTGAAGTGAATCGAAAAGAAATTCTTATTTATAAGTATTTACTTTATTCACATGATTTTCGCTAATGCTTTTACGCTGTGAGGGAATGGGCTTTTCATGTTGGAATTTTTTCTCATTCTAGATATAACTAACTTTTATATAGTCAGACTATGTCTAAAATTTTCTGGCATGTAGGTTATTTATTTTCAATTAAAGAAAAATTGAAAAAATGGTTCTTTAACTACTAAAGTTAATGTTCGTGGAAATATAAAGATATTTTTTATTGAAATAGGAGGTTTTAAAAACAAGTTAAATTGCGATTTGTTTCGCTTCGTGTGGAAACTTTAATATTTCGATGTAATAAAGAGTTTCAAATCTTCGACAAATTTATTAAAAATAATTTTTTGTGAGCGTTAAGTGTACACAGTGAGTCAGGTAATATTGAACTACACAAACTAAGCCCCTGGATTCTATAACAGCCGCTACGTGCGGTCCGGAAGGGATAATGCCAGTCAGGTAGCAGTGAACGGCCCAAAGACGCTCAATGCTACCTGACTGGTATTACCTCTTGCAACCACGCGCTCATTCCCTTATGCTATGGAGCCCCTATACTATTGTTTTTGATTTCAGATAATTAGAAATTAGGTTATAATCCACAAGGTTTTTGAAACCGGAGAATTGAAAAATAAATTTCTTTTCAAGTCAATTCATTTATTTTTATATTTATATCATATATTTATTTATTTTCTGTAGAAATTATTAAGCCAGTTGCAAATCACTTTAAAAATATTTTAAATGTATTTCTTTAATTTGACTAACCTCGCTTTCCTCTGAATCTGTTAGAACCTGCAGTCGATTTTATAAATTACGGGTAACCTCCGCACGTGCAATGTTTTTATTTTGTCTAGAACGTAAAGTAGATGCTGGTATCGTCTCCAAATCATCCTTTAAATATCGCTTATAAGTAGATTCGTCATCTCCCATTTTTAGACACTTGCTGTAATATTCATAAATATTCATAAATATGCAAGTTGTATACAGCACGTGTATACATTAAACTTTTTGAGGTTATATTTGTTATTTCCGGCAATATATTATTAAAATACAAGAAAATTTTAAATACAAATTATAATTAACTGTTTAAAAGTCAATATAAATACTTACTAGCAACCATAACGTATACTTTGAAGTAAATATAAACAAGAAAATAATAAACTTGCACTATTTGCATCGAACTGTCTATGAAAACTCTGAAATTGGCGGAAGTGGTTTTTTTTAAAATCATTTTCAGTAGAGCACTGATATTGAGACAAGCAACTTTTGCGCGCAGTCCGCAGATGCGTAATATATTCTATCTCTTTTTTCCGTGGTGTAGAGCAATGACGCGGAACATACGTAATATACGTAAAGAACTACATGTAATGTACCTGAGGTATATTATGTACCCAACTCTGGCATCTTGCCATCTCTCGCATGACGATTTCTAAAAATTCAAACATTGAGTGCACGTGTGCTGTGTAGGTTTAATATTGAAAGCCGAAATGAATGACTCAGAGTGTTTGTTAATTAATTTTCATAACGAAAAAGATTCCATTGCAGTTGGGTTTAGATACTGGATGGATGAACCGGTAACCAACAATGAACTAGAAGAAATCATAGAAATGAAGCGGACAGTTTTAATGAAGTGGCCAAATTGCAATATCGAACCGGCGTCAAAAATGTTGAAAAAAGTTTCTTTATGCAAGTGGAAAAAGTGTGTCGGTACAATTCTTGCTGCGGGCAGTAAGTACATATATTTTTAGTTTCTCTAAGTGTAAAATTTCAGTTTTGTTTTTTAAATTCAGAGACTATTTATTTGCGAAATTTGGCAAACATTTTATCTTTCTATAATCAGAACACGTGGTGAGATGTAGAATTTTTTTTAACCATTCTCAGTTCTTTAGAATTCAAAAACCAATAAAAGGGCAAAGCTAGGAGAAACTAATTCGAATCAAAGGGATGACTTTTCTGATGAATTACAAATTTCGAAGTTAAGACCAGTACAAGTATGCATATATATTACATTTTCCTGTAACGTAATATGTGAATGATCTTTATCTAAAAGAAATTTAACTTCTTAGTTTTCAGAGAATTTTTTAAAATATCTTGATCTATGTGAGAATTTTAACATAAATCTTCTTTTTTGGGTGACAGTATTAATGTTTTAATGATATGTACGTACTATAATTTTTTTTAACAGATGAGTGAAGACGAATTATCCGACTCATCTGTTGATGAAAAAGAAAATAGAGGAAACGTAGAGAGATTACTAAAAAGAATTAAGGAACTTGAAGATGAAAAATTAAAGATGAAAAGCCTCTTGAAAGAAAACGAAGGTAAAAAAGTTAAATATTTTTTTTAATGGAAGTTACTATTTTCTTAACTAAAAATTACAAGTAATTTTTTCATCCGTAGATAAAAATTCAACAGAAACTACAGATTCTCCTAACGATGTCGATCCAAATACTAATACATCAGATTCTTCTAATTCATCTCCTAGTGATAGTACTCTAGCTAAAATAATTGATGAGGACATTGATAAAGAGGTAAGTTCAGGGTGGCCACATGTCAGTAATGTCAGTAAAGTCAGGGAAATGTCAGGGGAAAAAATTTTGTCAGTAAAGTCAGAAAAATGTCAGGGGAAAAAATATTGTCAGTAAAGTCAGGGAAATGTCAGGGAAAAAAATTTTTTGCCAGTAAAGTCAGGGAAATGTTATGAAAAAATTTTTTGGGAGAGAAATTAAGAAAATTGAGAGTTTTTCATATTTTTATATAAAAAGAATTTTGTCAGGGAAAGTAATTTTTATGTCAGTAAATTGTCAGGGAAATTGATAAACTGAAACTTGTGACCACCCTGAAGTCGTTGGGTATTTCTATTAACTATAGTTAATTAAACCATTAGTATTTATATACTTTAAAGATGTAAAATCAAGATGAAATATATTTTCACTTTATCACGAAACGTTAAAATCGATTTTATTTAAATTATTAATGTTATGGTTTGAATTCCAATTTTCAAATTTGATCTCAGTCACCGTTAATAAAACTCTAGAACTTCTAATCTGCTAGTTTTATTTTGGATTCCAAACTTAAAGTCTGATTTATTGACGACAAAAACCCAGCTACAGACAATTTTGTAGCAATGTTCTAAAAATTAACATTTTTTGTGTGATATACAAAAAAAAGTTTAATTCAATAAATTTGTTTGCAATTTTTTCAATCATCATGTTCAATAAAGAATTTAATTTTTACTGTTTCTCCTTATAGATAAAAAAGCTATTATAAACTTCATTTATTAACAACGTGTTATTATATTGTAAAACAAGATAATTATCTTTTATTAATTTTTTAAATAAAATTATAATAATATAATATTTTATTGAAAATTGTATAAACCTTTTCAGATCGAATTAGGAAGCAGTAGTCAAAATACAGTACTTCTAGATGGAACTATTAATTTGAATGACTTATATGAAGAACATGAACAAGTAAGTTATCGCAATTTAGTTTTTCTTCTTATAAAGTTCAATCGTGGTCATTTATGCCTTCTCTTTTTTGTCATCGCCTTACACACATGTTACCATGAAAACGCTTGGAAAATTAAGGGCAGAAAACAGAAGACTATTTGACTACTATGCAGTTTTATAATTACGTTTTTAATAATCCATTGCATATAATATTTTTTGCAAATAGATGAAAAGTACAGCAAGCGTTGGGGTTATTGTTGATGCATTATTTCCTGTTGTGAACAATAATCATAATCAACCTACGTCTCGAGAAACTCCTTATAAGGTGGGAGAACAGTTAAGTGCAACAGGCGTTGAGGATATTGTTGATGCAGTAGTTCCCCTTGTGAACAATAATCGTAATCAACATATCTCTCAAGAAACTACTAATAAGGAGGGGGAACAGTTAAATACAGCAGGCTCTGAGATTATTGTTGATGAAGTAGGTCCTGTTGTGGGCATTGATCGTAATCGACCTGTGTCTCGAGAAATTACTTATAAGAAAGGAGACATACCATTATCAAAACAAAAAGTAATTAACGTGTGATTTTTAAAAAATTGGAGTACTTAAATTTCTTGAGACCTCATTAATTATTTAATTGACTAAATTTTAATATATTTACAATAAACTCTCTATAGATATATTGTTTTTGCAGCATAAAACCATTACTTTTGGAGGAAGAGAATATAGCTAAAATAAAATAGCTTGTTGTAATCGAAACAGCTTATCAAAATTTACAACTGAGCTGACATCAATTGTCATTGACCGCCAAGAATTGTCTGAAAGCAGCTTAACAGGAAAAGTAAGCAATTTTCAAAAAAACAATCCAAATGCGATTGCCAAAAAACAACTCTGCCCACAAAGAGTACAAGATATGCTAGGTAACATTTTTATTTTATTTTACTACCCTCTTATTTATTAAATTTAATTCTACGTAAATCAAATCAAATTATTTTTTTGTTCCTATAATAAATTTTTGTATTAAAACTAATCTTTTTTCTTTTCAGATTATGTTATTTCCATATTTGGAGACACTAATGATAACAGAATTTTGTTTCGAGGTGCGCTGCGTAAAAAATTAAACAATTCTAAATAGTAAAACGATTAAAAAATCAAAACTTTCATTAAAAGTTTTCTATTTTCTTTTATAATATTTTATATTATTATTTTAAAACTTAAAGAGTTCTTTACAAAAGGTGCAAATTAACAATAATTAAGCACAACAAATATGTTTAAAACTTTCCCAAAAATTCTGGGCTGTGTTATGTAAGATTGATGAAATTAAGGAATTTCATATTTAATTGTTTTAATTTTTGTGAAAAATTTAATAAAAATATTACAATTTTTTAATTGTTTGTTTATTGGTTCATTAATAAAATTCACAAAAGTATATATATATATATTACTTGTTGAATTGTTAATATTAATTTTTTTTATTCCTTCTAAAGGCGAATTTAGTACTGGGTTTTCAGTACTTAATCATATACTTCTTTCAATACTTATTCCAGTACTTGATCTAATACTTCGGCCAATACTTCTTTCAGTACTTGTATTAATACTTCATCCAGTACTTTTTTTCATAAGGGACATTAATTGAAATTTTCTTAAAATTAATACAAGTTTTAAATAATGTTATTTAAAATTCTTATAAAATTGTAAATTTTAATTCAATTGTTGAAAAATTCGAGGAAAGATTTGAATTTTTAAATAATTTTCTTAAAAAATAATAAAACAAGTTGTTCATTTCATGATCATTTATCTTCCTCAATATAATATATGCCAATTGTTTAATTTTTTATTTTACAATAATTATTTTAAAGTGTTAAGATGAAATTTCAAAAAATACAAAATTTCTTTTTTTTTGTGAAAAATAAAAATATTGATTAATTCTATAAATATTGATAAAATATATACTTTATATACATAAATCGATTTGTTTTCATGACAGAAATGCAATTTTGACAAGAATTTTAAGGAAGGAGTCACGAGTTTAAGTCAAAAATCCACTAAAATTTATTAACTAAAAAAATCACGTTTTTTTCAATTTACGTGAAAACGAAAAATTATATAAAAAATTTTCATTTGAAAAAAAGTTTCGCCTTGAAATTCTGTACAAGAAACAATAATTTAAAATTAATTTTGAACAACTTCAAAATTTTATCTCCAGGGGCCAACTTATTTGCCGTGTGTTCGCGCGTGTGCCCTAATCAATCAATTTCCAAATAAACTGTTCTACCCTTTTTAATTATTTGAGACATTTTTTTTGTCACAAAATTGTACATAATTTTATTATTTATAAAAATAAATTAATTTTTGCGAAGAATTTGTTTGAAAATCCTAATTAAATTCTTTGTAAAATTTCTTTCAATTATTTTAAAATAATGGAGTTTCTGTAACAATGTTCATTCATAATTTTCAAAGTAATTGAATTTTATGAACAATTTCTTTCAAGTTGTTAAAATAATCGTGTTTCTTAATAACTGAAATTTAAATTTCATTATTGAATTTTATTAAAATTTTTAGAAAATAATTTAATTCTTATAATTTTTTATGATTTTTTTAAATAATTTAATTCAATTCAAGGAATTTTATTACAATATATGAAATAATTAAATTCTTTCGAGCAAATGATACTATATAAACGATTTTGACAATAATTGAATTCTTTCAAAAAGTCTCGTAAAGTTTTTTTGAAAATAATGTAGTTTTTGGAATAATTTTAAGTGGACATTTTGAAAATAATTAATTTAAACAAACTTCTTAAAAAATAATTGAAATGTTTCGAAGAATTTATTAAAATTATAGAAATTTTTTTTTTAGAAATTTTTTTTGAAATAATTTTATAACGAATTAAGAAAAAAAATTGAATACTTTATTATCATTATTGTTATTATTATTTTATTTTAATTGAATTTTTGCAAAGATTTTACCACTTCAAAAATATTTTTAATTATTTCGAAGGATTTATTAAAGTTTTAGAAAATTAATGAATTCTTTCGTGAAATTTTATTGGAAATAATTAAATTTTTGTAACAAATTTTACTATTTATAAAAATAATTTAATTCTTCTAAAGAATGTTATTATTTAAAAAAAATAATTAAATTCTTGCGAAGAATTATTTTAAAATTTTTGAAAATTTAAAGAATAGTAATGAATTATTGCTAGTTATTGTTAAATTATCAATTTCATTTTCAGAAACAAACTCTGCAGCCGTCAATTAATCATTACAACATTTTAACCAGAAGCATGAAAAATATGCTTCAAAAGTATATTTCCAGGGGGGTAATTATGATGTTTACGGCGCAAAAAAAACAGAGAAAAAGGCCTTAGTTTTTAACAAAACACGTTTTTGCAAATCAATGCAAGGTACTATTTTTTCCGAAATAAATCCATTACATTTTATTTAATTCTTTTCTTCGTAAACTTTTAATATTTATTCTTATTTCAGCTGTTATACATAAGCACAGTCCAGTCAGTGAATTTTTGAAAGATTTGGGTTCAACTATTTCAAATGCCAAAGACTGGGAGGGGCACAGGGCATTGAGGACTAAAAACCCAACAAAAAGTATGAAAGATCCAATTAATGTGGATGAAGAGGACCACTATTAAATTTTATTTTAAATAAGTTAAAAGAAATATAGAAAATAAAAAGATATGAAAAATAATATTCTTATAATAAAAATTATTATATAATAATTGTGATATTTTTTTATAAACAAATTGAATAAAAATTCAAAATAAATAAGTATTCAGAAAAAATTTTGCTTTTATTATTATTATTATTTAAAATTAAAATATTGAAATCGAACCTAAAATTTTAAATTTTAGCACTGCTAATTAGACCTGATTAGCTCGTCCAGTCTGGACCAACGCGTGGTTCGATCGTCACTGATCTGATTAGCTCATGATCAGACGATCTCTTCAGCTTCCCGTTAGCTAATAGACGGTCTTTCTAGCTCCTTACTAGAACCCAACATTTTTTCTACACGGGTATTGGAACATTTTTTTGGAACTTTTGACTCCCTACAGGGTGAGAAATCTGTTAGGATTAATGCTCGAAACTTTTCATATACTTGTTCCATAGATTCTTTGATGCTAATATCCTAACAGAGAGCCTATTTATTGCTCGAGTCCGCCTGAATATTAGGCGGACTGTACCAATCTACGATAACCCGGAGCGCGCTCCGTTCATCGCAGTAGAGCAAGGACGTAGAATTTTGCTCTAAAAAATTTTTCAGCCTATTTTTGAATACCTGAACTGACAATTTATGCAAAAAAGAAAAAACCGATGGTTTTCAGCCGCCTAATGTGGTTTCCCCCCTTAAAACTATATTGTATCAAAAGAGAATCAGTTCCCAATCTTACTGCTTTGTTCGGAGTAGTTTCTTTAAAAAATAAGTTTGTATTTGTTTCAGATTTAAAAAAAAAATTAAACCCCATACATTAATTTCATAGGATATAATATTTATGACAAAACTTTGAAATAGTTTTTTATAGGTTTCCCAAGAATCCGCCTTCAAATTGTGTGTATTCTTTTTAAGCAAGCCAAGATATAACCAAATTTGACGAGCTATTTATTTTACTATCAGTAGTAGGAAATGTAATTGTGTTTAAGAAGACAAGACCAACATATCTGAACTCTCTTACCAATTCAATCAAATAAAAAATTTATATTTTCATATAAATGAATTGAAAATTATTTAACTTTCTGTGATGGAAACCCAGAAGTAATATCCTAACACTTGTTCTTAGCACAATAGAAGTTTTTGGAATTTTTTTGAACTAAGTCTAAATTTTTATTTTCGTTCATGTAAATCTATTCATTAAGTAAATAAAGTTATGCAACATTGATTTTTTCGTAGTTTATTGAAAATTAATACATTTCGAAAATCGCTAATCATGTTATAATAGTGCGTAGATATCTCATTATTATTTTCTTTTTATGATGACAATGAGCATTGAAATGCGTAACGACGACGACGACGACGATGATGATGATGACGACAATACGATAATTGGTAATGAAAATATTCAAAGTTGATTGTAATTTAGGGACGAATGTCATGTAGTGGTAATTAAAGGTTTGTACCGGAAATATGATGTTTTCAATGCATCCATATACTTTATGTCGGATAGTATACAATATAAGCAGCATTGCGAAGTTAACTGACGATAAAACATGAAGTGTCCACCATCAATCTTGCGCAAGGAGTTACGAAGCTGCCGCTGTAATTTGAAAACAATGCATTATTTCACTAGGAGAAAATAAATTTTGCGAAAAATATTGTCTTAAAAATGTTTTATTCTTGTACTTTTATACTATAAATTGCTTAACGTTTTATTTTATCTAAGTCTTTTTCTTATTTCCATTTTTCTTATTCTAATAATTCAGATTAATTAAAAAATAATTAATACTTTTATCTAATATTATTATTTTACTTTATGAATCATTAATTTAAAATAGGATATGAAAAAGAAGCTGAAATTAAGTAAACAGATTATTTTCTAACCAAATAAACTGAGTGATCAAATGTACATTTTTATCAACTAATATTGATTTCCAGATAGCATAAAAATTTTCAGCAAATTTGCAATGACATTTTAATTAATTAGATCTCGATCAGATTATGCATTTAATGATCTTGAATATTCAACTGTTATAATATAAAAATACAAATATAGGAAAAAATTAGAAAAATAAATAATAACTCTTATATTAAAAGTGAATATTGTGAAAAGAAAGGAGATGTATTACGTGTAGAATTTTTTCCCTTGGTTATAAAGAGTTCCTTGAGAGGGGCGCAAATTAATTTCACGCACCTTCAACAGACGCAGGTTCAGGAGCAGGTCCCTGAGGATCTTCCGCGGGAGCGGCTTCTGCAGGAGGAGCGCCAGCTGCAGGTGCTGGTGTTTCTGCAGGTGGCGCTCCTTCCGTTGGAGCTGCTGCTGGTGCTGCTCCTTCTGCAGGAGGTGCCCCTTCCGCGGGTGGCGCTCCTGTAAATTTATTTTCTTTAGCAAAATTAAATAATCCCTGATAATTCCTCAATATTTTGTCATTGATTACAGACTCAAAATATCTATTAATTTGTTGTATTTTTTAGGCTCCATTATTTACTTACTGAAAATAAATAATTTATTTATAGCTTGCATTATTTATTTCTAATGGACTAGTGAATAAATAAATGTATATGATTATATATTTCTACACTGAGAAAACAATATATTTGAACTAACCCTTTGCGTCACAGTGTCACCTATTCTTTCGCAGCTTTTTCAATTTCTATTTCACATTTATGAATGAATTCGTTTGAAATTCGTTACTTGGGAGTTTTTAGGGTCACTGAATACCAATCTGTGGTTAGTTATTACAAATTCAAAATGGTGAATTCAATATGGCGGACATAAAAAATTAAAAATCGAATAAATTCACTTGAAATTCGTTATTCCTTGGTTTTAGGGTCGCTGAATACGAAAATGAAAATAGATTTTGATGATTCAAAACGGTTGAATAAAAATGAAAAGATGCTTATATATAAGTCATGTACTAGACAATCTGTATCTATTTTCAAGTGAATTCAGTCGATTTTTAATTTTTATGTCCATATGTCCACCATATTTGATCTGACATTTTGAATTTTTTAAAAATAAGTACAGATTCGTATTCAGCAACCCTAAAAACCTCCGAGTAAAAAATTTTAACCCAATTCAGTGGTTTCTTTTTATGTTCTCCATATTGGATTCGCCATTTAAAATTTTTAAAAACTGACCCTAGATTCGTATTTAGCGACCCCAAAAACCCCAAAGTAATTATTTTTAAGTGAATTCAGTCGATTTTAAACTTTCATGTCTGACATATTGAATCCGCCATTTTGAATTTTTAAAAATTGACCCCATATTCGTATTCAGCGACATCAAAAAACCCCAAGTAAAGATTTTTAAGCGAATTCAGTAAAAAGAAAAATGCGTGACTCAAAGAGTTAAACAAACTAGTCTTTATTATACAGTCAACCAAAAATTTTGTTTGAATTAAAGAATAATTTTGATTCAATACATAATAAGGTTAATTCAATAAAAATTATATTTAATTCAAAAATATTTTTTTAGTTTTGCTATACTTATTTTTGGATTAAAAAACATTTTTTTCTCAGGATATTATAAATTTTATTATGTGTCATTCCATTATATTTCAATCAAAGTCGTTGCCTACTAATTTAAGAAAATTTTAATACTTTTCAGGAATGATTTTAAAGAAAATCATGGTTGAAAGAAAATCAAAGTGAAAAATCGAATCCAAACATGTTATTTTATTTTTTAACGATTAATGCCCTTTGAATTTTAAACATGGACCGACCTTGACTGTAAGGACCAATCTGAACTACAATTTTTTTTTAAATCTTTATAACTTTTTCATTTTAAAACCAATCAACTTGCTTTGCACAGAAAAGATGTTCCTATTAAACAGGACTTTTCAACCATATACTTCAATTGTTCAAATTCATTTTTAAAAAACTATGTTCCCCTACATATATGAAGTCCTAGAAGCTCTCACTTTTTCATGTAATAGAAAATATTTAAAAAAACACCTACTTAAGGGGTTACACCACCCTGAACGCCTGAACTTTTTTTTTAAGTGCTCCCATTTGCTCAAAAAATTTTTTCTTTATAAACGGCTACGTCATGTCATAGAGAATGTTATTGAGCAGTTGTGTACAAAATTTAAAGAGAATCGGTTGAGTAGTTTTTGAGAAATCATGTACACCGTTCCGAAAAATGTAGTTTCGAAAAAACGCCATATCTTCGCCATTTTTGAATATTTTTTCATTTTTCAAAATTTTTTTTACAGTTAAATATATGTATTTTTATACTATAATTAGTAAAAAATTGTATTTTTAATAGTTTTGTCAAAATTTATTTTTGAAATACCTTCCAATTTTCAGGCGTTCAGGGTGGTGTAACCCCTTAATTTACTACAAAATGTAAAAGAAATTATTGAAATTTATTAAAAATAACTTCATAAAAATAAAATCAATCTTGATAAAATTAAGAGAAATGTTATTTAAAACGTAAACACATGGATCTCTAGACCAATTAATGCAAAAATTTGCTTTAAAATGTTATTTTTCATTGAATAAAAATTTTTGTATTTTTCGAGAAAAAAAGACAATGGAATACAAATTATTATAAAAAAATGAATACCTAAATTTATATTTTTGTATTTAAACATTCAATTTTTTGATAATAATTTTCTTCTGCCATATTAATTTGTATTCGATTGTCTTTTTTTCTAGAAAAATATCAAACTTTTTATGAGGGATAGCAACCGTAACCAATAACCGAAAAAACAGAAATTTTTAAAAAATCAAAAACCAGAAACCGAAACCGTAAAAAAAATTATCTAAAACTGAAAGCTGAAACCCGTATTATAAAAATTTAAAACCCTTTATTTGAAAACCTTAATTCCGTTTTTTCGGTTTTTATCAAAATATTGTACTTATTCGGCAAAACAAATTGTTTCCTGCAAAAGATTAATATTAAATTTCAGTATACAATAATTATTATTTTTATTTTAAAAATTCTACATTTTATTCGACTGTTAAGAGTTTTATAAAATATAAAATAAATTTATAAATAAATTATGAGTAATTATTACACATATTTCGTTCTAAATAATTAAAATGCATTTTTTTAGTCCAAATTTTTCCTGAAGCGATTTTCAATCGAAAATATAGTTTTAATGAAACAAAAACCAAAAGATTTTGTTTTTTTTTGTTTAAACAATCATAACTTTTAATCCTTAAGTCAAAAGTTAAATTTTTTTGCAGATTCTTTTGCAAAGTTTTTTTAGCCCACCATCTTTGAAAATGGTAAGTGCAAATGTGAAGCGAAAGAAACGGACTTTTGGGACTAAATGGGTTAATACATATGTATCAAATTCAATTAAAGTTGGCTAGTTTTTACTTGCTCTTAATTCATTTAATTAATGAAAATTTAATATTTTATTATAAAAATGCTGAGGTTATACATGGTGTAAAAAATAAAACAAAAAATTACAAAATTGAACGCAAATGAAAAATGTTTTAAATTGTCTTACTGTAATGTCTTTTCAATTTTACTTTAAGGAAATTGTTGGCTGCTGTGTGATTTGATCATGAAAATATGTGAGCCTGACAACTGAGGACCTCTACATTTAATTTTGTAAATTTTCGCACTTTTCGTGGACAAGGTGAAAGACTAAATTTTCCGGAGAATGAGTCAGTTGATCGTTGACAATAAAATAGTAAACACGTATTCTTATGTAATTGAAAGTATATTTAAAGTAATTTTTATTAAATGTGACAATGTTAACCAGCAAATGTGTTTACGTTTTTTTTATACCCTAATTAACGCGTCTAAATTCTTGCTATTATTAAGAATAATTTTTTCATTATCAAAATTCGAAAACGCGTCTCAACATGGTCCTTCGAGCCGGATAGGTTTGCCAACGAAAGAGTGGTGAAATATGCGGTGAATTGAATTTATACCAAGGAATATTAATGTGCAGTTATGAAACACTGTGTTATCTTAACAAATGGTGATGAACGACAGTAGAATCTGGTGTTAACAATTGGATTAATATCGCATCGGACGCTACGAACTTTCAATCACATGTCTCTTGAATTGGAATAAGAGAAATTATCAACTTGGGCCAGCTACGAGAACTCAGAAATTATCATAAGGCGGAATGCAGTGCAGAAGCATCTGATCATTTCGAATATCTATTCATCAGGATTCGGAGTTTGGGAATTTGGCGGGCAGAATTTGGCGCGAAAAGCTGAGCGTCGCTTCGAGGTATTTTCATTCTACATCTTCAAGGTGACCATCGCATCAAATTGTAAGCGTCTGTTTATTTAATCAAAATTGTAAATATCATCCATTCAGATTTTCTTTCGTATTTAAAAATTTAATTTTTGAAATTTAATTATCGAGTATCATTGGCTCATTGTAAATATTTAATTTAGTTGTAAATTAATTATTGATAATCATGGATAGCGAAATTGATGCTTATCGACAAAGCCGCACAAATTGTAAAAGTAGACTAACAAAGTTTAAAACCTTTTTGGATAAATGTTCATTAGAAAATACGGCTGTCGAGGAGATCGTATTTAAAAGGGGAAGCCGCGCAAGTAATCGAGAGCATCGAGACCTCCAGCGACAATTATGTCGAAGCGTGGAACCTTCTTAATGAAAGATACAGTAATGAAAGAGTGATCATTCAGAATCACATTCAAGCAATTTTTGATTTACCGGTTATTAGTCGCGAGTCAGTCGCGGGTTTACGTGGCTTTTATGACGGAATAGTCCGGCATATGCGCGCGCTGAAGGTCTTGAAAGAGCCCACTGTTCACTGGGACACTCCCATGCTTTGCCTGCTAACGGCGAAATTAGATAGAGATTCTCGACGCGAGTGGGAGAAGAAAGTAAGCAGAAATAAAATGCCCAAATATGATAAATTTTTAGAATTCTTACGCGAACGATGTCAACTACTAGAAGCAATACACGCTGGCTGTGGTGAAGCTAATAAATCGAATACAAGGTCTAGAAATCAATCGCAAACAACTAATGATAGAAAAACGATAGGAAAATCATTTTTAAACACACAGCCGGGTTACTCTTGTTATAATTGTAAAGATAATCACATAATTAATAAATGCCCTGAATTTTTGAATATGTCAATAAATGATAGAAAAGAGTTAGTCAAAAAGTTAGGACTTTGTTATAATTGTATAAAAAAATCATAGGATCAGCGAGTGTAAATCCGGTAGTTGTTTTAAATGTCATAAAAGGCATCACACTTTATTGCACAAAGAAACTGTAGAAGTTAACGTAGAAATAAATGAAAAAAGTGAAGAACCTGTAAGCCTATCAAAAAATCTTCACATTTGTAATGCCTCTGCAGTGATGTTATCCACGGCGATAGTAGACATGTTTGATAGTGAAGGAAAAAAACATGAATGTCGCGTGTTATTAGATAGCGGTTCTCAGCCAAATATTATCACTTCTAAATTTGCGAAATTATTAAATTTAAAAATAAAGAAAACTAACGCGGCTATTCAAGCAGTAAACAATCAAGAAGTTAATAGTTTAGAATTGGTATCCGCGAAATTCCAATCTAAGCACAGTAATTATTTTGCAAATTTATCGTTTCTTGTTTTACCTCACATCACAACCAATTTTATGATCTCTTGTGCAGTGACAAAATTCCGTTAACCCTCCCACGAACTCATCTGCAAAAAACGAAGATTGGATGGATTGTCACTGGCAAGTTGATCAACAAGCAACCGACGAACCAATTTTCTTGCAATCTCATCAGGGATCAACTGCATCAGGAATTAGAGAAATTTTGGGAAATTGAGGAGCTGGTGGAGGAGCGACATCTTTCTCAAGAAGAGGAGGCATGCGAACAACACTTCAGACAGAACGTGCAGCGTGAGGCATCGGGACAATACGTTGTCCAAGGATCATCGTATGAGACTGCTCGTCGACGATTCTTTTCTTTGGAAAGGAAGCTGGAAAAGGATTCAACGTTACGAGAAATGTATCATGCATTCATGCGTGAATACCTGGAATTAAATCATATGGAAGAAGTGACCTTGAACGAGAGAGACGGATATTTCATTCCTTATCATGCGATTCTAAAAGAGAAGAGTTTGACTACGAGATTGCGAGCGGTGTTCAATGCCTCATTGAAGACGAATTCGGGTGTGTCCTTGAACGAGGTGATGATGGTGGGGCCGACTATTCAGGATGGAGTAATGGAACTGATGCTTCGCTTCAGATTACCTGTGATTGCCCTGGGAGCGGACATCGAAAAAATGTATCGACAGTTTCTGATCCATCCTGATGATCGAAAATATCAAAAAATATTTTGGCGATTTAATTCAAATGAGCCACTGAAGATCTATCAGTTGAGAACGATCACGTATGGCACCGCTTCAGCCCCGTTTCTGGCGACGAGATGCTTGGCGCAGTTAGCAGAAGATGAAGGAGCAGCGTTTCCGGAAGCAGCAACAGCATTGAGAAACGACTTCTACGTTGACGATGCAATGACTGGAAGAGATACCTATGAGGAAGCTGATCTTCTGATCAAGGAGTTGATCAGCTTGACATCCAAGGCTGGTCTGCGACTGTGCAAATGGGTTTCCAACGATGCTCGACTTACAAGTTCAATGGCTGATAGCTTGAGCAATCTACGCAAAAAATTGGACGATGATCATACCACCACGAAGACTCTGGGCATTGTCTGGGATGCTGCGACGGATGAACTCGGATTTGAAGTTGAGCTGAAACAAGAATCGGAATTGATCACCAAGCAATCCATTTTGTCAGAGACTGCACAGTTCTACGATCCTCAAGGGTGGATAGCACCAGTGATCATCTTAGCAAAGATGGAAATGCAAGAACTCTGGAAGCTGAAGTCCGGATGGGATGATCCAGTGCCAGAGGAAATGGAGCAAAACTGGCGACTGTTTCGTGATCAACTGAAGCTGGTCAACGAGTAGCTAATTCCAAGATTAGCCAAGCTTAGAAACTCGCAGGAACTGCAGCTGCACGGCTTTTCTGATGCCAGTCAGCGTGCATATGGCGCGTGCATTTACCTGAGATCAACGAGTGGAGAGGAGTATCACTCATTGTTACTGTGTGCGAAGTCAAGGGTAGCTCCAGTCAAAATCATTTCCTTACCAAGGCTGGAACTATGTGCGGCAGTTTTACTCGTAAAATTGTTCAAGACAGTACAAAAAGCTCTCAAGGTCAAATTCAGCAAAGTGACTTTCTGGTCCGACTCAACGATCGTTCTTTATTGGATCAACAAGCCACCGTACAAACTGGAGACCTTCGAAGCAAACCGAATAGCCGAGATACAAAGTATAACGAAGCCTGACGATTGGAGACACGTTCCAACATCTGAGAATCCTGCGGATGTGATTTCCAGAGGTCAACTGCCAGCGGAGTTTCCGGAAAACCAATTATGGAAACATGGACCGACCTGATTGAAAAAGGAATAGGAAAATTGGCCTCCAAGATTCCAAGCAGTGCAAGGAGATCATGAGGAATCATCAAGGGTCCAAGTGTTGACTCACAAGATCAATGAACCCTGGAATTTGTGGAATCGTTATTCATCAGTGAAGATGCTCGTTCGAGTGCTGGCGTGGTGGATCCGATTTGTCAAAGAGAAAGAAAAAGGGAACGAGTAGCAGGGGAATTATCCATAGATGAACTACGATCAGCGGAGTTGATCATGATCAAAAATTTGCAACGAGAAAAATTTCCTGAGGAAGTAAGGGCTCTCTCCTTGAACAAGCCAGTACCGAAAAGTTCCAAGGTCGCGCGCCTGAGCCCTGTGATGAAGGATGGTGTCCTGAGAGTGGGGGGTCGACTGCAACATGCTGACATTGACAAAAACCAAATGCATCCCATCCTTATCCCTAAACTGCATCCTGTGACTGCCTTATTGATTCGTGATGCCCATATTAATATGAAACATGTAGGAATCAATGCGACATTGTATAATCTACGACAAAATTATTGGATCGTCGACGTTAGAGTAGCAGTTAGTCAGGTGGTGACGTCTTGCGTGACGTGTCGTCGAGTAAAGCCTAAAGAAGTAGCATATGTTATGGGGAATCTCCCTAAGGTGAGAGTTTCTGCTGCGAGACCGTTTGAGAGGGTGGGGGTGGATTATTGCGGTCATTTCTTTATTAAGGAAAAAAGAAGTCGAAATAGAGCAAAATTAAAGGTGTACGCCGCGGTGTTTGTTTGCATGGCCACTAAAGCGTTCCACATTAAGTTAGTGGAAAATTTGACAACCGAAGCGTTCCTCGGATGTTTGCGCAGATTTTTTGCGAGGCGTGGAAAAGCAAAGGCCTTGTATTCGGATAACGGTACGAACTTTGTGGGCGCAAATAATGACCTTAAGGACCTTCACGATTTTTTAAACTTAGAAAAGGGAAATGTAAAAATTCAGCGAGAATTATCTAACGAATTAATCGAATGGAATTTTAATCTTCCCCGAACCCCGCACTTCGGCGGACTGTGGGAAGCTGCGGTGAAGGCCTTAAAGCATCATTTGAGACGAGTTGTTGGCGATACATTGTTATCGTATGAAAATTTGAACACACTTATGTGCGAAATTGAGGCGTTGTTAAATTCGCGCCCATTGACACCAATGTCTTCGGACTCCGCGGATTTAAATGTGTTGACCCCGGGACATTTTTTAATTGGACAATCTCTGTTAACAATTCCTTCTACTGACCTTTCCACGGTACCTATCAATCGTTTGAGTGTGTGGCAACACATTCAAAAAATCAAAGGAGATCTGTGGAAACGTTGGACGAAGGAATATCTTAGCGAACTAAATTCAAAAAGTAAATGGATTGCGGGAGAAGAAAATATAAAGGTGGGAACGTTGGTCACAATAAGGGATGATAATAGTCCACCGATGCGTTGGTGCATGGGCCGAATCGTGGAAACAATTCCAGGCGACGATGGAATTGTGAGAGTTAAAAGGTTCGAAACTGTAAAGGTAAAAAAAAAAAAGGTAAACTTAAAAAAAACAAAAAAAAAAAAAAAAGGTAAAAAAAAAAAAAAAAATAAAAGTAAAAAAATAAAATAAAATAAAAGTAAAAGGTAAACTTGTAAAGGTTCGAACTGTGAATGGAATAATCGAGAGAGGAGTGAAACGAATTGCACCACTTCCTGTTGAAAATTAATTGTGAATTAAAAATGTTGACCTGTCAAAGGGGGGAGGATGTGTGATTTGATCATGAAAATATGTGAGCCTGACAACTGAGGACCTCTACATTTAATTTTGTAAATTTTCGCACTTTTCGTGGACAAGGTGAAAGACTAAATTTTCCGGAGAATGAGTCAGTTGATCGTTGACGATAAAATAGTAAACACGTATTCTTATGTAATTGAAAGTATATTTAAAGTAATTTTTATTAAATGTGACAATGTTAACCAGCAAATGTGTTTACGTTTTTTTTCATACCCTAATTAACGCGTCTAAGTTTTTTTGCTTTTAAAAACAATTTTTTCATTATCAAAATTCGAAGACGCGTTTCAACAGCTGCGATTCAAGGTTTCATTTGAAACCAAAAAGAAAAATATTGCACCTCTTGTTTTTCTTTTATTTATAATCAAAGATAGACAAAAACATGCTTTTTTGACTTTTTAACACTATTTTTCTCAAAAAATTGACGTGCTAGAGCATTTTTCTTTGCAAATTCGTAATCAGTGTGGAAAAATCTATATCAAAAGTGACCAAAATTATTCAAGTGGAAAACTCAGTTCCGGGCAGTGTAATTATTCTTTCAAATTTTATAAGTTTTTAAATAACTAGTCGACAACGACTTTAGTCGAAATATAATGGAGTGACTCTTATAATTGATATTTTTTGAATAAATAATAGAAAAATATATTGACCTTCTGCCGGTGGTGCTCCTTCTGCAGGAGGTGCTCCTTCAGCCGGTGGTGCTCCTTCAGCTGGTGAAGCAGATTCTGCAGGTGCGGCACCCTCTGCTGGAGGTGCTCCTGAAAGATATGTATTTTCGAATATACACAACCTCTACCTTTTTTATTTTTAACTAATTAATTAGTAATTAATTTTATTAAAATTTTTTTTTAATGAAATAAAACAATGTATAAACCTTCAGCTGGTGGTGCACCTTCAGTTGGTGGCGCTCCTTCGGCAGGCGGCGCTGCCTCAGCGGGTGGCGCTTCTCCTTCCGATGGAGCTGCGTCTGCAGGAGGCGCTATAAACCATATTTATTATTTATTAAATAAATACTTTAGAATGTATTTTTCCATTATATATTATGTTACATAATAATTCACCTTCTGGCGGTTCAGGTGTGGGCGTTGGTGTTGGTTCAACAGCTGGTGGTTCAGGAGTGGGCGTTGGTGCCGGCGATGGCGTTGGAGTTGGTTCTCGTGGCGCAGGCGATGGTGTTGGTGCGGGAGATGGCGTTGGCGTTGGTTCTCGTGGCGCCGGGGATGGTGTAGGTGTTGGCGTCGGAAGCTCAACTGATGGTGGCGGCTCCAACTTTTTGACAATTTTTAATCATTGTCCAGCCAAAGATTTCTTTATAAAATTTTCAAAGAAACAAAAATCCCTCACAATCATTCCCCGATTCTTTTAACTTTTTATATTTATAACAAAAATACACAAATCCGGAATTGTGTCATTCCAGCTCTGTTGGAGAATTGAGAACAATGACAACTTTAAGAGTGGGGAAGAGCGAATCTTCACTGGCGCACTCATTTTACGCTTACTTCAATTCTCCAATATAAACAGAACCGCAAACTGAAATGACGCCAGTCCCGAACACTTTATAAATAATTATAAATAAAATAACGATTTAATAAATGATAGTACAACATTAAAAGCAATATTTATGCAAATTATAGTTAAATGTAAAAATGAAACTGAAATAAAAAATTGTAACTTTGGTCCCAAATTGCTCGACACTTTTAATTATTTGAAAACGGAATATATTTTGATACCTGTTCGCTATTATTTTAAGTATCACGACAAATATAAATTATCAATTTTCTAAAAGTGAAAAATTCATACGCAAAAATGAAATTATATTACCATAATTATAAAGTCTGGGAATATTTTTCAATTTTTATTTTATATGATCATGCGGGGTGATCTTAGGAACTTCTGCTTATTTCACATTTTCACATCAATTTTACATACTTGTTTCGCGTGATCTCATATTATTATGATGATTCTGTGGTTTCAATATGCGTGTAACCACAACCATCAGGTCGTAAAATGTATCCGGTCAGAAATGTTTGTCATTAAATTAGAATTTCAAATTAATTCAAAATATTATATATAAAGTTATAAAATATACCTGTATTTTTTTCATTGCAATTTAAATACTAATTCATATAAAATTTTATATTTATTTACACAATTATTGTGCAAATTGTATAATTATTTTATTAATTATGAATTAAATTTTTTTTTTTACTAATAAGAAAATCATTAAATTTAATACAATATTAAAATAGTTGGATAAATAAAACTGTAGACTGAATCTATTTCAAATCAGGCAAGTCGACTAACTTCAAGTTATAGATTTACCTGTCGTTAAAATATATTATTCTACATGAAAAATAAGGAGACACGTATGTTTTTATTTTTCAAAAAAGATTCAGTCTGTACAATGTTTTTGAAAAATGTACCCAATTAAGTAGTGGGAAAGAATAAAAAAATTATTTCTCAAAATTCTTGAAAACTGCTATATATATATGCGCGTGAAAAAAATTACAGAAGTTATTGGAAGGAATAAATATTCTTAATTTAGAAAAATTTTTTGCCTTTTTCTTTTTTACGTGTTTTTCTCAACTCTCGCAGAAAACACATTAGCGTAAGAATTATCGAACTTTTATTCAAATGAAAATTTTTAGACCATTTTCGCTGTGGTTTCAATTGCAAAGTTTTGACTCTTTAATGGCTCAAGGAAGGCGTATTTTAACTACAATTTAAATATTCATTAGAAATTCTCATATCAAGTCAAGTACATTTAGAATTTTTTTCTTTTCCTCTTTTAGATAATATTAATTTTTATGTCTCAATTATGAATTTTTTTCAAATTAATTCAACTCTAATGTTATCTTTTTAAATTATTGTATATCTATAAATATTTCAATAAAAAATGATATTTTCCCATGAGCATAAAATTTTAAATAAAATTCAAAATTTCTCATTGTATGAAAAAAAAATTTTTTTTTAACAATATATATGAATACACGTTTCATTCTATATCGCATTTAGGAAAATTATTGAAATTCATATTTAATAAAAAAACGTGACGAGCATATTTATAACGGAACCAAAGAACTTTATATATTATTTGGATGTCGAAACTCATCATCAAAGTGAATACGCTTTAAAATGTGATTGAATAACGAACTTATTCTAAATTCGAACAATTTTCATCATGATTTAACTCGATATGTAATAGATAAAGTTTTATTTGAATGAAAATTCAAAAAGCGACATGTATTGATATGTACCTACCATCATCAATTTCGTTATTTCCTGAAATTCACAAGTTTCTCTAATATTTATTATAACTTCAGATGCATGCGCACATGGGGTTGAAATCTATAAGTTTCTAAAAATTAATTCACTGAAACACATTCATTTTTAAATAATACGAAAATGGTTTGTGGACAGGGTAAAACGGCTAACACTTAAAGGTTCGTTCTTTTCAAATTGGAAAAATAAATTTCCAGACTTTTAACGAGGGTACGGAATCCTCGGTTATAGTATGAGTTCTACTCGCACTTGTCCGGTTTTAATTAATTAATTAATTTTTAAAAACTAATTTTAATAACTTTTAAAAGCAAAATACAAGTCACTAATTGAATTTAATTGCAAATAGTAAATTGATCCAAATTTTTCGTGTCAATTTGATACTTTTAAGAAAACTGTGTTAAGCGTGGCTATGAAGAAAACATGATATATTTTATTCTGTTTTTGTGTCAGCTATTTTCGAATAAGAAACTAAATCGAAAAGTTTTCTTTTAATTTAATGTAATTAAATGTAATTAAACTGTGACTTTCGTTGAATGTTTTTGAACTTTTCTATGTCTTTTCTTTCTTTCTTCTTCTGATTTGGTAAAAGAATTTAATTTTTCAAGATTCAGGAAAATGCTTTTTGTACATTTTTCATAATATTTCTTCGTCACAGGAAGCTTTGTTTTGGTAAAACTTTTCAATTATGATTTATTTATTAATTTTGATGTTTTTCGACCTCAGGAATTCAAAAATCGTGATTTTAAAAAATATTCTGAATGTTTGTGTGTTTATTTAAACATTACATTATGACATATATCTCCGAAGCTATATACCTAATTTTAAAATAATTTATAAATAATTTTTAAAAAATAAATACATTTATAAATAATTTGATATCATTTCGTAGTTTTTTAAGACGCATCTGTTGACCTATTAGCGAATATTCTGCTGTAATTTTATTCAAAGTTATAAAAGTTTTAAAAATAGATGATTTTGAAAATAGTAACTTTTTGTCAGTTTTGTAGTGTCTTATAGTCTAAAGCTTTAAATTGTTGCATATATTCGTTTATTTTATTAGTAGAGTTTCATAAGTTGCATTTTTTATTCTACTACAAAACATTCTATTGCTATTTCGATTAAAGAAGTTTAAATAATTAAAAATTTTGAAAATCGTAATTTTTGATTTTTTTTATTGTTGGGGGATAAATTTTAATGTGTTTTATTGAGTTGTGAACTTGTGATTTCTACTTTTTATTATTTGGGTAGGTACATATTTAATATTTATACATATAATACTTTGATCCTTAAGAGGAAGCATTGCATTCATAAAATGAACACAAATATTATTGTAATACACCATAAACTTGGTTGCGATTTGAATTTTGCAGTTGTTCATATGAATTGATTTTAATGTGTATCAGAAAGAATATGTTTCTATAATTTATTATATAAATCATAATTTAATTTTTTATCATTTCATAGTTTAGGCGAAAAAATCCAAATTGTTTTTTTAAAATTTGTAAGACATTTTTAAATTTATCATATTTATTATTATAATTATCTCGACGTTTCGATGGTAGCCACCATCCTTTTCAAGAGAAGATATTATAAAAATTAATTTTAATTATAATTTACAATAATTGAAAATTTCTTTCTATAACAGAAATGTGAGAATACATAATTATATGTATTGGTATCTTTGATCATGTTTTGATTTAAACGTTATTTATAATATTTCTAATCTTGATAGCCTTTTCTTAAATTGTATTTTAGTTCTTACCCGTTTACATTACATTAAAATCGAATCATTTTTTAAAAAAATTTTAAAAAGCGATATGACAAAAAATTTGGATCATATGTAAATTATGTATAAACAAATAAATTTGTTGATTTTAAATTTTCTTTCATGAAAATTAATGTTTTTGTTTTTCTAGAAAATACTATTAATATTAATATTTTAATTATTTACATAAGTATTAATTAATTCTTTTTTTAAAGGTCTGCATTCTGTTGGATAAACCACCTTAATTTATTATTTAATTACTTGCTTTGTTCTAAACTATCAACTCGTATTGAACCCTTGATCGTTTAATTTCTATTGCTAACAATAAGTTTTTGAATTTTCCAGGACATTGTCTTTTTGTGATTAAAATATTTTCTCTGAGTTTAGAGAATCATTTTTATCATATTCAGACTATAATTTTAATTTTTGCTATTTTTAAATGCAACCTCATTATAACTTTATTGATTAATTAAAAGTTATTTTTATTCAAGATTTACACTATGAATATGGATGTATATTTCTGAAATATGTCGCTAGTAATTTATTAAATAAATAATTATTCCACTTCCAATATACTTTGTACTTAACAAAAATGATTAGTTATAAAATACTTCTATTTAAAGTTTATTAAGCGATGAATTCAGTTTTGCATGAAAATTAATGTTTTGTTAATTGTGAAAAAAGTTATAAATGTTGTACATCACTTTGAACCTTTTCGACCACAATTCTTATATTTATGATTTTTCTTTAACAAGACAATTGACACATTAAAATAGCTTATGAGAAATCAAAGTTCAAATTATTTATTTTAAGAGATACTAAACTATTGTGCTTCGTACCTTAAAAAAACCTTTTGTAATTTAGATTACACGTATTTAGAAAATTAAAAAAAGAACCGTAATACGAGTGATACGCCACAAAAATGAAATAAAAGTAATTTAAAAAGTACTTACATATATTTTCATTGGTACCGTTTAACATCTAATAAATGTGTTCCGAGAAAAAATAAATAATTACGAAAATATATAAAAAATACTAATTACAGTCAACAGTAATTGAACATAATTGACCTCGTAATTGACCGTAATATTTGATACAGAAATCCACGTTCTTTACAATTAACTTATGATTAAATTAATGCTTTCAATAGATTTTTACTTCAATAAGCAACCACCTTTTTAATGCCTTATGATACAAGTTCAAATAATCTGTATTCTTTTAATATTTATTTAAATTCTTGAAAATTTTCTTTATTGTATATTTGATTTGTCCACTTAAAATGTAAAAGCTTGATACTTAAAGATTATATGAATAAAAGTTTCAATACTCAGAAAAAATTGTTTTTACTTTTGCATAATGAAATATTAAAAATATTTAACATTCCATTATGGCATAACTCTGAAAAGAATTATGATCTTATATATATAAAATATATTGTAGAATTAAGAACATTATTTTGAATATTGATAAAATATTCGAGGAATTTATATATTCATTGAACATTAAGAACAATCGTGCAGGAAAATGGATTACACTGATGGTAAAAATTAACACAAAGGTTTTTGATTATAATGAAGTATTTAATTTATAATATATCTTAAATAATATTTCTTTTGTTTTTGTTGTTGTCAAATATAAATATCGCGAGACAATGTTACATCGATGGTTAGTTAATCTGGGACTGATTGAACGAGCAAAAAACTAAAGATCCTAATTTTTAAATTGACAAAAGTATACAAAAAAAAGATATGCAAAATCTACTTTTCCTTTCTTTACACAAATAGAAAAATAATCTTAAAAAGGAAACATTTACATGTTCTTTTTTTAAAGAAATACAAATTTTCATAATAGATAGCAAAAAGAAAGAGAAACGGAAATTTCAAAAACTTGGTTATTGACAAATAAAGAAAAATTTTGAGGAGAAAGAATAAAATATTAATTGACGAATATTACAACAGTCATGGTTTAAAATTTTTTAAATACATAAATATAAAGGATGTGTCAGAAGAATGTTACACAAAGAAAAAAAAGAAAGATTTGCGGTAAACTCTTCATCAAGAAAAACAAGGCGTTGTTTCGATCATTGGAAGGAAGTTTGACGTAAAGTTTCTCTCGGGGGGGGGAGAATGGTTCTCTCATGCCTCAACCTCCTCTTCCTTTACCTTCTTGTCTTCGCCCTTCTTCGACCAGTCAGGTTTCTTCTGCAAGGTGACAGAAAAACAAACTTTTAGTACACTTCCCTTTCAAGTTTCTTCGCTTGGATTGCGCGCCAATGCGGGGATGTTAAAACGCTCTCAAGCATATTAAACGGATTCGGGAATACAGGGAAATATATATCTACATATGTAAACTTTATTACCCTTTACGAAAACCAAATGTTTCTTTTAAAATAAAATCAAAACAAAGAAAATTGAAAAAAACATTTTCAATTTATTTATTTATTCCAAATAATAGAAATGTTCTAAGACAAAAACTGTTTTAACAAATATGGAAAAAATATAAAATAAAATATTTTTTCTGCATTAAAAAAAAATTGAATTATAAATAATATATTTTAGACAAAATTTTAAGTGAATATTTTAACAAAAAATATTTAAAAGTTACATTAAAATATTCTATAATTTAGGAGTTAAAATTTTCCATTGAAAAAATTCTAAATAAGGTCCTAATGACAGGGCTCGAACCAGTGAAAGTATTTAAAAATACGGAATTTACGGACCAAACATGAAAAATTAGGGACCATTTACAGAACAATTATACTGACAAAAATATAAGCAATCCGAGTCAAATAAGAGATAACATTTTACTTAAAACTACAAATAAAATTTTTCATAATTCTATAAAACATGAAGATATCGATTTCTCCGAGTCTTTGACTGGGAGTGATCTATTTCTTCACGTTTTATAATAATATTAAAGAATTTTTTACTAAAATTCTTCTTTAAATCGATTATTTTTAATAATTTTCGAAAAAGTTCTTTGACAATTTTCAAATTCATTTCTTTACAATATTCAATTTTACTAAATTTCAATTATTCGTAAATTCTTCAATTAAATATATATTAGAAAATAAAAACTTCAAATAGTATAAAAAAAAATCCGCAATTAAACTTTCTCAAAAAAAATTAATTCCACAGAATTGTTAGTTAAAAATGTGAAAAATTTAAATCTTCAAAGATTTTAATATGAAACCTTTTCAAAATTCAATTATTTCTAAAAATTTACGCTCTAATGCTTTTAATATTCAATTATAATCTAAAATTTCAACTAAAGTCCATTTTAAAATTAATTTTTATGAGAAAATTCTACTAGAATTCAATTATTTAAATACAAAAAAACCATTTATTGAATAATTGCATGTTTCTCAAAATAGAATTCTCATAAAGAATTTTTAATAAATTTTTAAATAATTTAATTTTTTTGACAGATTTTAATAAAATTTTTAAGAACAATTACATTTTTTCGAAGAATTCGATTAAAATTGTATTAAAAATAATTAAAATTCTGAAATAAGTTTTATTATTTATCAAAATAATTGAATTTCTAATAAGAATTTTATTATTTACCAAAATAATTGAATCCCTGTAAAAATTTTATTATTTATAAAAATAATTGAATGACTGCGAAGAAATTTATAGAAAACATTGTAAATAATGAAATTCCTGTGAAATTTTTATTATTTTTTGGAAATAGTGAAATGTTTGTGAAGAATTTTATAAAATTGTTTTTTAAATAATTGAATTTTTTTGGAAAATTTTATTAGAATAGTCGATGCCTATTAAAAATCATTAAATTGAGGAAAATTTTTGAAAATAATTGAAATTTTGACAAGAATTTTATTAAAATTTTTGAAAATAATTGAATTTCAGAGAAGAATTTAATTATTTCTAAAGATAATTGAAATTTTGACAAGAATTTTATTAAAATTTTTGAAAACAATTGAATTTTTGCAAAGAATTTTATTATTTGAAAAGATAATAATTGAAATTTTGACGAGAACATTAAAAAAAAAATAATTCTACAGAATTGTTAGTTGAATAGTATGAAAAATTCAGATTTTCCAAGATTTTAATTTGAAACCTTTTCAAAATTCAATTTTTTCTAAAAATTCATGCTCCCATGCTTTTAATATTCAATTATTATCTAAAATTTAAAAAAAATTAATTTTCAAATCAGTTTTGATTAGAAAATTCTACGAGAATTCAATTATTTAAATAGGGTAACTGCACCAATTGCCGAGGGTGCTCCAATTGTCGAGGATAATAATTTTCTTTTTTAGATAAATAGTATAATATATAATGTTTAAGAACAAAAAAAATTTCTAAATAATCTTTGTATTTTCAACTGTATATTTATATATACAAATTTCGTAGCGATTCTACTAAAATAATTATTTAATTAATATTATAATTCACTGCTGTGAAATTTACACGAATCTCCATTTTCTTAATACTTCAGGTTGATTAAAACAGATTTTTAGAAATGCAAATTAAACGTATTTATAATGACTTTTTGTGTACAAAATTATTATTATAATTTTGTACACAAACTAAATTAATTTTGTATGCATGTTTTTTTGTTAAAAAAAAATATTTAATATTTTTTAAAAGCAAATCATCGGTATTTGGTTCCTTTTTTTTGAGAGTTCCATTTTTCGAGGTAATGACTCGAAAATTGGTGTAGTCACTTTTTTCGCTGATGCACCATTTATCGATGGTTAAGTGTTTATTTACTAAACGTCAAACATAAATGCCAAACATTTATAGGTACAGAGAAAAAGAAAAAAAAATGCTCCAAAAATTTACAACCAACAGAAAATAATCAACCAAAAAAACGAGGAAGACCGAAAAAAAATTAATAAAAAAATGCAGTATTCAAAACTAAAAAATTTTGTACTATAGTTTAATTATAATTAACCATTATATTTACAGTTTGTAATAAAAGTTTATTTTATTCGTTTACAAATTTAATGTGACTTAAATTAATTTATTTTTTCAATTAATGTCTGATTAACAAAATTGATTAAATTTAATTAACTTATATTTATAAAAGTTTAAAAAACAGTTAAATAATTTTCTGTCCTGTATCATCTACTATAAAAATGTTTTATATCGATATTATAAATTATTCAATTATAGTTAAATAAATATATTTGTTTTCTGGTAATGTTCTATAATATTTTTATCAAAAAAATAAATATCTACTCGATTTTCTAATATCTGTACAGGTTAATTGTTAGGTTATATTGGGTTATATGTTTAAAAATGTCATACCCTCGACAATTGGAACAGACCCTCGAGAAATTAGCACAAGACCATCGAAAAATGGTGCTTTTGCTCGATTGACTTTTAAATATATTTTTTGCTTAACAATTTAGTTTATATTAAAAAAATAAATATGAATATTAAACATTATTAGATCCTTCGTCCAAATATACAAAAATCAAATTTTAAAGTGCATTTACTTCCGAGAAAAAAAATGTCAAAGTCACATGTTGCCTAAAACCCTCGACAATTGGTACAGTTACCCTACAAAAATAATTAAAGGTTTGTGTAGAATTTTAATAATTTTTTTTTAAATAATTGAATTCTTTTGAAAAATGTTATTAAAATAGTAGTTATTGTAAATCATTAAATTAAGGAAAATTTTTGAAAATAATTGAAATTTTGACAAGAATTTTATTAAAATTTTTGAACATAATTGAATTTTTGCGAAGAATTTTATTATTTTTAAAAATAATTGAATTTCTACAATCATTTGTAATTTCTCTAAAATTATCCAAATTATATTGTACAATTTACGGACTTTACGGACCTTTTTTAAAAAAACGGACTTTTACGGGATTTACGGACCTAGTTCGAGCCCTGTAGTTAGGAATTTAAGATAAGGGAGAAATTTTTAAAAATGGTTTTTTAAGAAATTTTAAAAATGGCCTGATGAAAATATACAAATTCTTTCAATTTTTCTGTCTATTCGCCAAACATCGTCTACAGTTATTATTATCTCCTTTGTGGAAAAATAAATCATCGAAAACAAAAAATTAAATAATATCTTTAATTTTGTTTCGAATGAGAGACTTCACTATTCTTGAAATGAAAGTTTGTGTCAATAGAATTACAGTAAAAGAATTTTCCAATCATAAATTTCATTATAAATTTCAAAACAATAGAGCAATAATATTTTTAAATTGTTTAATTTTCGTGAAATTGAACTAGTGACTAATTGAAAGTGACGAATTTCATAATTTTGTTTCATTCCAATATAATCGATAATATAAAAGTAAGTACATATAATTTGCAGTTTTCAATTATGAATAAAAACAAATTCCAATTGAAACTATTGCAAATAGAAGAAAGATAATTTTACGTAAAAATTATATTCATACATCTCCTTATTGACCTTTAAAAACTGCATATTTATTATCTGTACCTTTTTCATCAAATAAAAACCAATTAAGGCGACAAAATTTGTTTATTTATTATTTTGGTTAGAATTTTCACTCCAAGAAGAGTAAAATCCTATTCCATAAAATTTAAAAAAAAATTCTTTCAATTTTTTAAATATATAAATTGTGCTAAATGAAAAAAAAAGAAAATTGAATAGTTTTTGTATAAAATGTTAGAAATAGAATATTTTTTTGAGCTGAGAAGAAAAGGAAACTGATAGTTTGCAACGTTAACAACGAAACGGGATTTAAAAACGAAAAAATTATATTAAAACTCCGTTATAACAAGTAAATTAAAAAACAGTTATTTGTTTTATTGATCGTACAAACTATCGTTTCATGTTATAAATAATTGAAATTTATAAATGGCGATAGAAAATTGTTATTTCCAATAAAAAAAAAGAATGAATTCAACAGAAAGAGAAATTTAAGGACAACATATTTAAGCTTATTTTTGAGAGAAACATTATTTTCAAACAAAATGTTATTCCTCAAAATTGGATTATATTCTTAAAAAATGTTTGGCAAAAGAAAGATTTTCCTTAACAAAAAAGTGTTTTGCCAACTGCGTATAAATTGTTATTTAAAAAAATATAATGAAAATGAAAGGTGCCGTTAAATTAGTACGAGCGCATTTAAAGAGGGCTCTATGTACGTTACAATAGCAGAAATAATTAAAACAACAATTACATTGAATTAGCAAAAAACATTTAATTTTGCAGAAAATATTTTACATTTTTACACAGAAAATATAAA